TATTTTCGGAAACCCCCATTTCGAGGTAGGGCTCTTCGGGTCTCTAGGGTTTCTCTATAGGGTTTGGCTTGGGGTCGTTTAGGGCTCAGGGCTTTTATGATGTCGGATCTCTTCGGCTTAGGGTTTCGAGGGCTTAGGATTTGAGGGTTTAGGTCTTATGGGGCGGGTCGGGCGTTCAGGGTTTGGGGCTTGTGAGCGGTCTTGGGGTGTTCGGGTTTCGGACTTCAAAATGTGTAGGGCTTTTACATGTTCGTTCCAGCTAGGGCTTAGGCGTGTTGAAGTTTAGGCGATTAGGTTTAAAGCTTTCTCTTGGCAGGGGTAGAACCTTCAAGCAGACGGCACGATGCTCAAGCCACGGTTAAAGGCACAGAGGTTGTCGTACAAAAAACCGGCAACGAAAGTAGCTCAATCGCTGGACTCAACAACATAAAGATGAACTGTTTCAGCACCTAAGCCTTGCGAAGGCAACTGGATGACCGTGTCAGTGATGATGGTGACAGTGATTGTGATCACGGTTATAACAATGACGGTTATGCTGCTGCCGATATTGGCAAGAGGAGGATGGTGATGATGGAGAGTGACGGCAACGAAGATGGTGATGTAGGTGATGATTGTTAGAACCCTGTCGCAAGAAAGAGCAGCGGGCATGACATTTCACACGACGAACATGAGAAGGCGAAAACAGCCCTGGGGCAGCTACAGCACCAGTAGCATTTTTTATTTCAAGAACCAGTCTCTAAGCTACAAGTCCGGATGGCAGAAGGAGACGACTACAGGATCCCAGTGACACAGGCCCAGGCTTGTCAGACGGAAGCTTGTTCTTTGTGGGACTGAATTCCTCCGGATCTGCACACATCGAGCTCAAAGCACTCTGGTTCTGTGTGCACTGTTGAGGCTTCAGAGTTTTATGATTTCGGGGTTTCGGGGATTCGGGTTCAGGGTTTCGGCTGGCACATCGCCGGCATTGATTGCCTTTTCCGCCATGCATGCGCGAGGGCTCGCCCCCCACCGCAGGGTTTCTGCAGTTTTTATTGTAGACCACGGACGGACCCAGCAACGAAACCGATTGCCGTGACGCAAACATAACATCTTCCAACCAAAA